TCGAAGTTACCTTCCTCTCTCTCTCTCTCTCTCTCGAGGGGAGGGGGAGCTGACGAACGAGCGGAAAGAAGGAGGAAGCGGGAGTTGTTTTAATTACCCGTCGCCCATCTGAGCGCCACTCATTAGTCCCGCTAATTATAACGTGCGAGAGGGAACGAGAGCCGCGGAAACACGATGTTGCGATTTCCATTGTTTTTTTGGAGGCGGAGAGGGGGAATAATTCCTCTTTAACACCCTGTCCGAGCTAGTCACGTATTATTAGGGATGGGCGATGAAAGTTGGATATTTTTATCATTGCTATCTGGATTAATTAAGCGTGAATTGTTGAATTTTTGCGGCGAATCTGTTGGAAGCGTGGACATAGTTGGCGAGTTAAAATGCAATGCGGAAAAGATTTTCAAAGTTTTTCGAAGCACAGAAATAATTTTTGTCGATTTGTTGTTGTACGATATATAAAAGTTAACGAGATAAAGTGGGCTTTGCATCCATTTTTTATATCCTTGTTTTTACGTAATGATTGGAGGCAATTTTCTCTGATGCTTATGTTTATTACGTAAAACATTGTATATAATTGCAAAATATATATATTGTAAAATTAAAACGTTTAGAGCATTATGTTATTTTATTTTTTTTTTGCTTAAAATGAATTATGCAAAAAGAAAAAAAAAACTTGTTCTTCTTATCGTTCTAAAGTTTATTTTTAGTTATGCAAATTTAAATTTTAGCTAGCTGTTTGCAAGTTGCTATGTTAATCAGTTAAAAGCTATTCGTAACCTTCGTATCGAAGATTTTTTCCTGTAAAATCAGATATTTTTAAAGTAAGTTAATATTTAATCTCGTAGCAATTTAATTAATTCTCGTAATCCATTATTTAAAGATAAACATGACTAACATCGTAATAATCTAATAAAAAAAGAATAAAAAAAACAGTTATATAAAACTGAAATATAACGATATTATTATTCGTAGATTTTGATTAAAACATATAAGATCATAAGATTTACACGTTAAGGCTTTTAATTTTCACGTAAAAATTAATTTTAAAATCGAACTTTGAATCATTCCGTCAATTTCTTTTTTTAAAATATATAAAAGAAAAAACCCTCTCCATAATCTACAAATTTACTTATAATCTATGCTATAATCTCGTTTTCTCTATTCCCCTTAATTTTGAAACATCAAAGCATTTCTACGACAGTAAGACAATAAAAAAAAAAAAAAAACTACAACAAAAATCCACTCATCAAATTTTCCTCTCACATTCTTCACGATTCATTACCACGAGATATACATACGATACGTGTAATATTCCATTCACATTTCGTTTCATTTTTATTCAATAACGAATTTCAACAAAATAATTCGCGCAAACTTCTTCGCGAACCACCACCAATCTTTCATTTATCCCCATCGTTATCCCTTATCTTCTCTTTATTGAAAATCACTTTGCACGAAAGTAGTAAAACAAAGAAAGACCAACCTTGCCGCAAAAGCTTCATCAAATTGCATTCTCTCGGGTTCGTGGCGCGCAAAATTCGCCTTTTAAATCCGCGCCGAGGGTGGTCACAAAGGGTGCGACGAGAAGTTTCGCGTTAATTTC